TTTCTCAGTTAAGTTTGCTTATAACCTCATTTCTTCTGCTGTACAGAACCAGTCCTTGCACCTTGACCTTTTCAAGCTTGTTTGGAGCTGGGATGGTCCCCCAAAGATCAATATCTTCATGTGGAAAGTAGCCTATGGAAAACTCCATACTAATGTTGAAAGATTCAATCGAAATATGTTTAATTCTTCTTCCTGTTGGAGGTTTATTGAGGCTAATGATTCTGTTATCCATGTTCTCAGAGACTGTTGGGCTAATTTGGAATAAACTGTTCTCCCCTAATTGTTGGGTGCCTTTTTTTATTAAAAGACTGACTAGCTAGATTACTTTTAATCTTACTAAATCTAGTTTTTTCCTTTTCCCTGACTGGAAGCTCCTGTTTGGAATTGTAGTGTGAAATTTGTGGAATAATAGAAATAAAGAGATTTTTCAAAATTCTCCCATGTCTAGTGAATCTCTCCTTAATAAAATCAAAGCTGACTTTGATTTCCTTTTCTTTTGTGGCAGATTTGGTTGGAGAGTGAGAATGGATTGGCTGGGGCATGTGAGCTTCATCAAATGGCAGCCTCCTCTATCTTTCCAGTTTAAGCCAATGTTGATGGTGCATTTTTCACATTTTCTAGATTTTCCAATTACGGTGGGCTCATTAGGGATAGCCTTGGCAGGTTCATCTTGTACTTCAATAAAGCTTTGGACTTTTTCTCCCCCTAGCTGCTGAACTTTGGGGAGTCTTTTGGGGTCTATAGCTTGTTATTCTAAGAACATCCAAGTAGTTTGGGTTGAATGTGACTCAAAGTATGCAATTTCCTTACTTGTAAACATACAGAGTTACAACTATCCTTTGTTTTATGTTATTAGTAAAATTAGAGAGTTATTGAAAGGTTTTAAGTTTTTTATGTTTAGTCATGCCTTTAGAGAAGTCAATCAATGTGCCAATTGGCTGGCTAAGTTAGAGTTTGAAAATGGTCTTCCCTATTTCTATTTTGATGAAGCCCTTCCCTCTCTTGTATCTTTCCTTAATTTGGATTCTTTAGGTGTTTGGTGTCCTAGATGTTTAGTTTAAGTCTTTGTTTGTTGTTGGTCTTTTAAGTCTCATTTATTAGCAAAATAATAATGATAATAATAATTAAATCTGTAAATTTTTAATAAAAAAACTATTATTTGTTTAATTTTGTAATATATACAAATAATTTATAAAAATATTCTCATAAGCAATTCAAAAAAAAAAATTGTTCCCATAACTTCTTAAAAAATTTAATTAATTAAAAGTAGTAAACTTTTATTAAAATTTATTATTATAAAGTGAAATAAAAATTATTATTTCAATTTCTTAAAATTTTATGACTGATATTAATAAAATTAATAATTTAAATTATAAACTAATGTCTTTAAAAATTGATTAAATTAAAAAAACTAAAAACTATATTAGATATACATTAAAATTATAAAAGATATATGTTGTTATATTTTTAATTAAAAAGTTAGTTATATCCTTTATATGTATAGAATTTTAATAAAAATGAGGATATTGGCTACTTTTCTTAACTAATGGATCCAAAGAAGTGTGGCCCTTTGAATGTCGGTCAAGAGAGTGAGGGTCGGTTCGTGTCATGCTGTTATTATTATAATTCACATGCAGTATTGAACTTATCATATTGAAATGAAAGGGTTTTCTTTACAATTTTATATGTTTAAAAATGTTAACATTAATTTTAAATATCCGAAAATAACAAAATTTTAATAAAAACTAATATTAACATAGATATATTTATATATTTTGAAATAATTTAGAATATGAGAGGATAGCAGTGGAAGAACAATGCGTGATAGAGTGCATAATTGGAGTAGCTAAGGTACAGTTGTTGTAGTAATGGGAAGAATAGGACAAGTTCCTGAATCCTGCAAGAATAGGGTAAAAGATGGGAAGGACAATACGTACGCACGATCGTTTTGAGTTTGGACGTTAATGGGCGTGAGAGTCAACACAGAGTGACCAGTGCCTGCCCACTTTCTCTATTCCAAACTCATTCCCATTTTATACCTTCTTCTTTTGTTCACACCCAGCTGGCTTAACGCGTTTATCATCACCATTGTACATTGCTGCTTCTCTGTCCTTTCTTCCCCCAATTTAGCAACATATCTTTTGTTTTTTCTTAACAATTTTATAATATTTTTTTTTTTTTATATTTTAAAATATGTATATGCAACAACAAGTTATGCATATATTACATACAACATCAATTTTTAATTATATTTTACAATTTTTGGAGGAATAAAAGAAAATTTTCTCCTGAATAATGTCATGCTGATGCACACATGACCCTTATTGACCCGTGGGGTAAAAGATGTGGATTCATCTCCCTTGATTCTGGGAAAATGTTACCATGCACTATTATTGTAGACTGTTTATGTACAGGTGTCGCCTTGCTTAACCTGTTGCATCCAATCCGGGTAAATCAAATTTAATTAATTTTTTTTATAAATTTAAATTGTGATTTCAAAATATGAAGATAATTCTTTTTGTGTTTTTAACAATATTTTTACTATTTTATATATTTTTTTAAAATTTTTGAAACTATTAATTATTTCCAATTTCTACAGTAATTTAAAATATTTACTCATCAGTAAACTCTTAACTAAATAGAAAACTAAAGCCCCCATTCACATTGTATCTGTTGTAACGTAGATATTTTTACATTATTATATTTTTATATCAAATATTTTTTTAAGTTTAAACCTAAGAGAACTTTCAAAATTAAAAAAAAATACGATTTGACTTCCTTGATATAAAAAAATATGTAAAATAATAAAATAAATTTTTATTTATCATATAATTTTAAATTTAATCATATTTATAAAATACTTCTCTTTAAACTATAAAGTAGATAATACATAATTTTTTTTTCACTTTACATATTCTCTTACTTTAAATAAACTTATTTTCATAAATCTTTTTATATATTTTTTATCATTTAAAAAGATTATAAAAGAGAACTAAATGTGAATGAAAGAAACATTAGCTGCATCAGCAAGAAATAATAAATGTAGTTTCGATGGTTAAGATGGATATCCATAACTAATATGAAGAATTATTAGAGACACTAAACTTTATTAATCAATCTGCCAAAACATTAGTCTTATATTAAGTATGTTAAATGCGCATTATTCATTCTTTTATAAACGATCTCCTGATATGCTAGATAATAGCTGAATAAAGATAAAATCAGAGATTTTTTATTAAATTAAATCTAGTGCAGTTTATGAGTCGTTTCACATAAAACTTTCTTATAGCCAATTTCTCTTACTAGAATTAAGCTATGATATATACCAAATAATTGTGCATTAAAGTTTGCTGTATTACTTAAAATATTAATTACATAAAAATATTTTATATTTATTTTTATGATACTTGTTAATATGATCTAATTTTTAAAATAAATTTTAACTCTTTGAAAATGTATTTATAAAATAAATTCAATTTAAATGTATTAATAGTGTACAAATATTTAATTATAAATTATTTTTATAATAATCATTTTAAGAACTATATCTATAATATATTTTAATTAAATAATAATATAAAAAAATTTACACGAATGCATATGAAATTAAAATCTTAGAAAATTTATCAGTACTGTATTATTCTAAAATAATCAATTTTATAATTTATCTTATAACATTTTGATGTTATTTTATCCATTAAAAGAATATGTTTATTTTTTTAAAATTAAAAGGTTGATGTTAAGGCATTGCGTGGAGTATATGCTAGTTCTATTGCACATTTTAATTAACCTATGAATTCTCATAGAGTAATTACCAGATTAACTTAGAGAAAAAAATATTTATCAGTCTTAATTCAAAACCTAACTAATTTAACATTACATTGGTGAAAGGTACATAAATGGCAGTAAGTTGTTAGAATTGTTGTTAAGAAGTTGCTAAGAACGGAGTGGAAAGTTACCGGACAAAATTAACACTAATTGTAATGTGTCAGTTGTAACCTAACCAACTTGACATGATAAAACTTCAACTACTTGACAAAGGAAGGATGGTATATAGCACCTTCCGTCACAAATGACAAGTAAGCGATGCCTATGAGGAGACAAAACCTATTAAGCCTACTTTATATTCATTCGTACATACTTCACATTGTGCAGGACAATAGGCTCAACACAGGTTAAGTGATCAATTAGGACACGCCACTTCATGTCCTCCAGGGAATTATCCTTTACCATAAATTAATAATATTTTTCTTTTTAAGCAAGACATTTTTTAATGATATAATGTTCTTTTGTAAACCCAATTTCTTTTATTCAAATTTCAAAGTTTTTATGTTTGCATTATTTTTTCAAAATTTGAATTGTTAATCAGATTAAATTAATTATTTTTATTTTTTTACCTTAAAATTGTCCTCCATTATTTTTATTTTTAAATTAATTACTTTAAAATCTACGTTTATACATCATAAGCCTCTCTTAATTCGTTCAAGCTTAAAAAAATTTACTGCATAGCTATTTTTCTTTTTACTCCAAATTTTACTCTTCTTAACTTTAAGAATATACTACAATGTTTTTAAAGTCTTTTTTTTAATATGAAATAACTGTTATAATTTCCGTAAACTTATTTAAAAAAATCTTGTAAAAACTTTATATTATAGTATATTTCTCTAGAGCAGCTTAATCTATTAATAGTATAAAATATTATTAAATAAAGGGAAAACACTTAATATATTAAAATTTAACAAAAACAATTATTATTTTTAATTTTATAAAATTATATATATATATATATTTTTTTTTTTTTCTTGGGCAGTAATCCATTGCATTTATTTTATGGTTTGGAATAAAATTGTTATTGTATCATTCAAGGAGGGATGCAATTATGACAAGGCCTAATCAAGCTTTACCATCTTATGTTTATTTGAGACTTTTTATATTTGCAAGCAATTAATGGACAAACAAAGTTAAAAGAAAATTGTGGTTAAAAATGAAAAGAAATAGCGATGGTTATGATGGCAATACGACAGGGGGAGTTCCGAATGGAGATGCGGATAAAGTGTGCTTGTTGAAGTCACTATCATTAAAAGCAAAATCGAGTGGGAGCCACCCAGGCACAAAAAAATGCCAGCTAGTTTCGCTGTACTGAATAGTACGTTCACAGTTCACAGTTCACAGTTCCCAAACCACACTCTATCCCTACATAAATGATAAACCCTCCATCCAACTCAACTCGTCTAGTGGGAGTTTGGAAGAATCACGGCCACAGCTCATATTCATGTGCATCACTGAGGAACCTGAACCCACATCCTCCAAACGGGGCTCAAGGAAGCGAGCGCGGGACTCCAACTCGGCATTCCGCGGTGTGCGCAGACGCAGTTGGGGACGCTACGTTTCGGAGATAAGGTTGCCGGGTCAGAAAACCCGGATATGGCTCGGCTCATTCGGCTCGGCTGAGATGGCGGCTCGAGCATACGACTCTGCGGCTTTCTTCTTGAAAGGAACCTCTGCCACCCTCAATTTCCCCGACCTCGTTGACTCGCTGCCTCGCCCTCTCTCCTCGTCCAGGAGAGACATACAATCGGCAGCGGCTAAAGCGGCTCTCGAGCCTCCGCCACGCTCTTCTGCCAAAAGTGACTCGTTGGAGATGGAGTGGTGGGAGCATTTGGAAGAACACTCTACTTCGACGACGTCGTTTCAGGATGTGAAGGAAGCTCCTCTCATGAGCCCTCTCAGGGTGGACTACACTTTTGGAGAATTCTCATGGAATGAAGTATTCAATCTCAATGACGACATGTTCATGATGGCATCAACATCAACTCTTGTTTAGTCTCTCTCTCTCTCTCTATATATATATACACCTTTTCTTTTCTCTTAAAGCGCTGGTAGTAGAAAGTGTATAAAGTCTTAAACGTCACTCTTATCTTTTTCTTTTGCATTCTATTTAGTTTTTGTGAATAACGGTTCTGTAGTTTTCTGAAGCTTGCTACAAAACTGATGTATAAGTAGAAGAGGAGAAATTTTAAGTTGAAGAAAAATACTTTTCTGGGTTTTTTATTTGGGGACACACTCAAGAAAAAATTGTTTAATAACGGTTTTTACTATTAATTATGTGATTGAAAAGACGATTGTATCAATGGTATAAACACCAGTTATTAAGTTTAAGTTTAAACCACTAAAATTAATAAAATTTGGTTGAAAAATAAAATATTTATTATATTTAAAATATAAATGTTTGGAAAAAATAATTATGATAAAAAATTATCAATTTTATACTTAAACTCACTTTTAAAAATTGAAATATTATGTTAACATGTTTGGTAAGTATTAATTAAATTGGTAATTTTCAAAAATCATATGTCACTTCTTATGAATAAAAACATTTATAGGTTAAAACAATAATAATAAATAATATTTTTATTGAATTAATAATATTATAGAGTTTTCTTTAAAAAACTATTTTTGAAAGCAAAATCTTAATATATAAATCATATTAATTAGAAGTTTTCAACAAGAAATATTTTTTTTAAAATTAAACTTATTTACACTCACATTTACAAATAATTATTTAAAAAACACTAACTAAATAAAAAAAATAATTATGCTTGTAAATTATAAATTAAATTTACACTTTTTTATTCTTACTGTTAATTTTTTGTAATTAATACAATTATTTATTTTATATTTTTAAGAGAATAAAATGATATTTTTTATTTTAAACTTTATTAATATCATTTATCTCTGCAGTTCAATATTTCTTTTACTAAATGATAGTTTAATCTATCTGATATGATTATGCTAAATTTATACACATAACTTCACATGCTTTTATTATATTTTATGAATTATTGTATATATAATTTTTGGATAGATTTTACAGAGTGCAAACATTAAAAAAGTAAGTTCATTAAATAATTATTTTAATTGTGTTAAGTTGAATTTGAACTTTTTAAGTTATTTTAAACACTCGATATACATTTTGTTGTGCAGTTAATTACTTTATCAAATTATCATTTTGAAGTTTAATTTGAATTTAATTAAATTTTTTATTTAATATATTATAATTAAGATATGTAATGGTATTTTTGTTTAATATGAATACCTAAGTAACATAGGATATGAGAAGGAAAATTAAAGTTTTGCTATTCATGAATATGAATAGTTTTTTAAAATGTGAATATGAAAATGGATTTTATAGTACCTTATTGTGAGATGTATGTGGGTGTCATCCATTGAAAAAATTTGTTCGATAAGAAGACTTACACCCCGGCTAAAACCTTATTTTTATTTTAAAAAGTAAAGAATTTTTTTTTCTTTCTATAAATTAATATTTTTATTTTTTATAATTTTTTAAAAAATTATCACTTTAAAAATTTTTTAAAAAATATTTTTAATATTCTTTTTTTTTAAATTAACATTGCACTAAAAAAATTGATTATTTTAAAATTTTACTTAAAAAATATCAAACGAAAAAAAAAACTAACGTTGAAAACGTTTCAGAATTTAGAAAAAGATTTTTAATCCTTTTCTTCTTAAATAATTAAACTTCACTGATTCCTCTTTTTTTTTTCTTAAATATAAAATCTAAACATAACTTAAAAATGTAACAAATATAAATACATAAAATTTTAAAACTTACAAAAAAGAAAAATAACATTACATCAAAATTAAAAATAAATAATAATTAAATTAAATCAAAATTTTATAGCAGATAGTGTACAGGAGTATGATTACTATTTATAAATTTTACGTACAGATTAGATAATTTATATTGTATAAATGATCAAAAAATTTAAAAATAAACTCAAAATTTATAACATGTTCATAATTAAAAATAAAAAATCTTAACCTTTTGTCACATAAATAAATAGCAATATAAAAAAACCATCCTAAACAAAACTTCTTTTTAAGAAAAATATATATTTTTTAAAGTTTCACTAAGTCCTGTATATTCAAAAATTCTTTATTATTCAAATTTTATTTTGGTCTGTGACTATACAGTTCCGCTTTAGCGTGTATAACTCACTATTAATAATTGATTAAACTAAATTAAATTTAAGAAGTGTTGAAAAGTAGAAAAGTTTCACATTTGTTATATATATATATATATATATATATATATATATAAAGTAGCGAGAATATAAAAAGATGGAGTATAACACTACAAAAAAATCGCTCATATATGGTGGTTAAATTTTATGATTGGTGACAGTTTTAACTGTCTTTAAATAATTTTTAAAAAACTGACGTTAAAATTGTCAATACAAAGTCAAATTTATGATAAATTTTTAAATTTGCAGCGGTTATTTAGCAGCAGTTCAAAGCTGCTGTTAATTTGAAATTCAAATTTCAGACTGTGAGCGATATTGTTATGTTTTTGGTAGGGACAGTGTTTTATTTTTAGCTGATAGTACTCTATTTTTTGCTTCTACACTTTTTTTTCTTTTTTATCTTCTACTCAATTCTTTTTTTTACTATTTGGTTCACATTCCATTTATTTTTTAACATTACAACATATATATTATATAATTTATAGTGTAAAATCATTGGGAAATAGCCATTTTTGGAGGAAGTAAAAATGATAGTAAAAGATTACTAAGGTTAACTACTCTCGTTGTAATGTAAAATTGCAATTGGTCTTATTTTAAAAGTCAACATTAATGTTAAGAGGTACTAAAAGTTATCTCCTGTTCTAAGTTTAGTTAAATTTAATTTCTAATAAGATATAAAAGCTTCTTTAAATGTTACAACAGCTTGTAAACTTCACACATGAAGGAAGGAAAATGGGTTTGCTATAAATTTAGACTTACTATGTTAGGTCATGAATGAATGAATTAGGTGTAATTCTTAACTTTTTATTGTATATATTTTTACTTCATTTAGAGCTTAATACGACTTATAGTAGATCTAACATGGGACTCACTTGTAAATTTATTATTATCATATCTAAAAATAAAAATAGATTAAATTGTTTAATAGAATCTTATAATTTAACTTTATATGCTTAATATTAATTTACATTTGTCTCAGTTATATTTATTGTTACTTCATTTTATCTATTATTTTTTCACATAATTACTTATATTATATATAATTTTTTTTATTTTTATATTCAAGTTAATAAAATATTTTTTTCAATTAAGAGTAATAAAATATATTTTTTATTTAAAAAAGTCTTAGTATAAAAAATTAATAGGTTAAAATATATTTTTAAAAAGTATAATATAAACTTAATAAAAAACTTATAAGAGTAATAAGGTAGATTTAACCTTTAAAATTATTAAATAAGTCAGGCTTATTTATATAAAATTTAATCTAATCTATTTTTATCTTTAATTATATCTAAATTTATTATAAACACATTTTTTGATACACTTTGAGTGAAAATAATTAAATTAAAATTAAGACTTGCATAATTTTTAATAAATTTTAACTAATAACTAAAGTTGAATTAGAAAAAATGTATTTAGAGAGTGCTAACTTTTAGCAATCAAGATTTTGTTCATAATAAAAACATTAAATTTTGCTTCTCATCTATGTTGTTTTAACTTCTTCAGTTGTAGGCTGAAAAGAAGAATGAGATGGGAGCAGATTTAACTGCTTTTCAGACCTCTTAATTGCATCAACCTCTTTTTCTTTTCTTAATACAGAAAAACAAATTGAAACTAACTAGTGACTGATAAAGAAATAGAGTTTGAGAATTTATTTTTATTTTGCACTACTGTATTCAACGACTTATCATAACTGAATTAACAGAGTATAGCTATAAAAATTGATACTACTGTGAAACCAAAATAAAAAAAAACTGTTCTAAAAGAGGTGGGTAAAAACGTATGAAAAAAAAATTGTTCAGATTTTATAATGTTATACTTAATTAATTGTCCACATAATATAATTTTATTATACTTAATTAGATATTTAATAAAATTTATTTATTTATAATGTTATCAATATTAATTCTATTAAGCTATTAAATAATATAGAATAATTTAATCATTTAAAAAACTTAATTCTATATATTTTTATTTTTATTATCAACAACTAAATTTATAAATTAAGAATATATATTGAATTATTATTAGTCTTTATTTATAATATTTTTATAATAATTTTATTTATTTAAAAAAATTTAATATATTTTTATGTTTAGGTATTAACATATAATTTTGTATATATTTATATTAAAATCATATTTTTAAAATTTCATACATTAGTTAAATAAACATATTTTTATTTTTAACTTATTTCCTGTAGTTTTTACTTTTATTTAAATTATTATTATTCTGATGAGTTATTTTTTTTAAAAAATATCATATCATTTAATAATTATATAGTAAAAATTTTACTAGAAATTTTAAATTATAATTATTAATAAATGATGTATCATATAAATTTAATTTAATAAATATATATAAATGAATAAATAAAAAACTATAGCATATTTTTTTTAATTTTATAACTCATATTGAAAATTTTGTTATATTTAATGAATTATTAGTATAATTATTTATTTTTAAATTTTATAATGATGAATAGTTTTATGAGATTATGAAATAATATAAATTTTATTTTTAGATTTAAAAATAAGAAGTTTTATGTTATTTAAAATAAATTTATTAATTTTATCATATATAGTTATTTTAGTTTATCAAATATTATAAATTTATTTAATTGACTCTAGAAAACACTAAATTATACAAATTTTATTTTCACAGTACTGTTCTAATATGTGTGATATTTTTTTAAAATAAATTTTTTATATAATAATAAAAAAATAATACATTTTAATTTACAGACATTACCATATAGTTTTTTTTATGTACTTATACTGAAATTATTATATTATCATTTTTAGTAAAATTATGACAGTAATAACAAAAAATATTTATACTTTACTTAATCAACATGTTCTTTTTAATCTAACATTTTAAATTTATTTATTTTTATTTATTAATAAATAAATAAAACTAAAAAATATTAAAAATATGTATTATATTATTATCAATTTATTATGTATTATAATTTTGTAATTTAATTTATTTCTCATAATTATGAAAAAAATATACTTCTTAGGTAGTAAATAAAATATTTGATTATTTGTTAATGTCATCATTAATTTTTATTAATTAATTTAGAGAATTTTAAAAAAAAATTATATAATAATGTTAATATTCTAAGTATGCTGATATTTATTTTTTATCTTTTAAAATTTATTATAATTATTGTTGTATAATATTTATTTATTATAATTTATTTTAAAATAACTAATAATATGTATCACAAAAAACTAGTTTAAAAATTCATTTATTTATTTGTTAGTATTTTTTAAGATGCAATATATTATTAGTTTTATTATTACCTTAATTTATTATTTTTAGAAATTTAAAATATTATCTGAATTGTATTAATTTTATTGTTATTAAATTGATAAATTATTATTTAAAATTATTTTATTTTTTCATTTCAATTAAAAAATCCATGCAATGTACGGACATATTTATTAGTTTTTTTCATTTTATTTCACCAGTGTATTCAACGTCTTATTATAACTAAATTAACAGAGTATAGCTATAAAAATTGATACTAGCTGTGAAACCAAAATTAAAACCTGTTCTTAAAGAGGCGAGTAAATACGAGGGAAAAAAAAAATCTGGGCAGGGCTAATTGTTACTAGCTTTGTCACCCATTGCGCGTGAGTTATCAACTTGCAATTGAGAAATTCTTGTATACATTAGGATATAACTTATGTGCACTGGCCAATCAATTAAATTTAAGTCTTATATAAGTGTTTAATCATTTCAAAACGACAACGTGTTAATTGATAGTTGATTTAGGTTCATAAGTGTTTAAATTAAGCGTACAAGAGTGTCTACCAGTACTTGTTAATTCATTTTATTTTTATAATTTTTACTTTCTTAACAGTTTTAAATATGCGACCGTTGAGGATATCCATTTTCTTTCACAGATCGGTGAAGATTTAACTTATAATAACAATAAGCTTTATCTAATAAACGAGGTTGGCTATATATCATATTATAATGAATTCAGTTAAAAATTAAATTTTTATAATAGTATTTAAAAGCAACTAAGAATTTTAAGCACCATAATTTCTGGCCTATAGTTCCATCCAACCCTAAGATATTTCTGAAATTGGTAAACTGTAGTACGACACTAACATGTGCTGCTCTCTTTCTATATCATCTCGATTTTAACACGCAGACAGTTAGTTTAGGCAGCCAGCGAAGCTTTAGTGCACACGTAATTGGTGTTAGAGAGTTTGCCCACACATATAGATGAGTGAAATCTTTTTTTCTTGTTAATGGCTGAATTTGTTGCATCATGAAAACCACATGATCAAACTGCCAATATTCTGCCTATCAAAACATACCATGTATCTATAATGGCATTTATAGAGAGCTAGAGACATGTACATTGTCAGAAATTGCTACTAATGACGCTTATTATTTTCTTATTTTAAGAATTTTCAGTCAATAGTGACATGACCCTGCAATCATCAAACCCATATTTTTCAGGTGATATATTGAACTTTATCTACTCTTGTTATATAATTCTGTTCATTATTTCATATATCACCTTCGTATTTTTCATAATTCTGGGGTCTACGTAATTTGTAAAAAGTAAAAGTTGCTTGGGTATATTGATATTGTACAACTAAGAAGTAGAGATTAATAGCTAGGAAGTTTAATTAGTGATTATACTTGTTGTAGCAAGATTAGCATTTTGTTAATTGTCAATGATTTTAGAGCCCTTCTTCATATACAAGGCTGCCCATATGTTTTCATCAGTTACTGACTGACAAAATAGCATAAAAAATAACTTTTTGTCTATTCTAAAGCAAGATTCACATTCTGCTTCACACTTTCATTGCTTTTTATGATAAACATCCCACTCATGCTCACATGATATGTTCAAGACCAACCGTTATTTGATGGCCATGATGGCTCGAAAATTGCACTAACTTTCCTGTACAAACAATTACATAAACAAACGTAGATCACAAGATTTTTGCTTATAACGGTAACCCACATTGTTTTATAAACTTTCTTTTACTTAATTCCTGGGACCTAACACGGCAGATCAATATGTGTCCAAGCTACAGTTTTCTATATAATGCTTCAGCTTATTTTTCATGTCCTAACACCTTTCTATGAAAACTGTACCCAGGGCCCAATTTAATAAGTCCAAGGTGGTGTCATCATCAGAAAGCAAACCGATCACCGTAGTCTCCTTGTGGCCAAGGAAATTAGGTGAGATCAAAAAGATGAGAGGAAAACCAGCTTCAGGAAAAACCATTTTCTTTCTATGCATTGCATGCTTTCTTACCGGGACCCTCTTCAGTGGCCAGATATGGACACGACCCTCGAACCATGAAAATGCATTACTGCCAGCCAGACGCGACTGTGATCATAAGCGAGTGAGTACATATAATTTGTACAGTGCTTAATTGCTTCGTAGAAAAATTAAATTTTCAATCTTTCAAACAGAAACTGATTGAAAGCAGACCCGGTGATGTAATGGAGGAAGTCTCTAAGACCCATCAAGCTATAAAGTGAGATATATATCCTGCACTCACTTTTAATTTTATATGATATTGCATTCATTAATAATATGCCTGAAATGAAATGAACCGTTTGTGCACAAATTAAAATAGGAGTCTTGATAAGGCAGTTTCATCATTGGAAATGGAACTGACAGCAACTCGGACAAGCCAAACTGGTGGGCAGCACTTGCGGCAACATGCTTCTAACCACAGCATACAGAAAGCTTTTGTGGTGATTGGTATTAACACAGCCTTCAGCAGCAAAAAGCGAAGAGACTCGATACGTGAAACGTGGTTGCCTAAAGGTGCAATAGTATTACAAAAAACCCCATTAACTGAATCAATGTATTTTATTTGTGAAACTCATCAAAACTTGCTAAACAGGAAATCAGCTAAAGGAGCTAGAGAAAGAGAAAGGCATTGTCGTAAGGTTCATGATCGGGCACAGCGCTACACCAGGAGGCATTCTTGATAGAGCAATTGATGCAGAAGAGGCAGAACACAAGGACTTCCTCAGGTTAGACCACGTTGAGGGATACCATGAGCTATCCACAAAGACTCGTCTCTTCTTCTCCACCGTTATTTCTATGTGGGATGCCCATTTCTATGTCAAGGTAGACGATGACGTCCATTTAAATCTAGGTACGTGTTTTAAATCTTAATACGTATCCGTATGGACATGACACAAATTCTTAAAAACAATAAAGGAATGGGCATAATTTAGGTGATTTCATTTTGCTGTATATTTACAATATTTAATAATTTTTATAATATAAAATTAATAAATTTAATTGTTAAATTATTTTATAATATTTTTATGACCATATATATATATATATATATATTAATAAAAATATAAATATTTTATTAAAATAAAAATTTAATTTTAATTGCATTTAAACAATAAGACATAAGTTATGTCCCGAAGGAATCGCCTTATCACGCGAAAACGAGTATATTAAGGTGTCACATTTTTTTCTCTTTGTCGTACAGGTATGCTAGTGAGTACACTTGCCAAGTACCGATCAAGACCCCGGGTTTATATTGGTTGCATGAAATCTGGCCCAGTTTTATATCAAAAGTAAGCTTTTTCATTTTTCTCCAATCATCAATAGTCATTTATTTTTTGTAAATGAAGTAACTCGTTTTAACTTGTGTGGCAGAGGCGTAAAGTATCACGAGGCTGAGCACTGGAAGTTTGGAGAAGAAGGAAACAAATATTTTAGGCATGCCACAGGCCAAATATATGCCATCTCCAAGGATCTTGCTTCCTATATATCTATCAACTGGTGACAATCATTCTTTCCCAATTTTCAATTTCCCAGCTTTAGTTGCATTCATTGGTAAATCTAGAATTGTATTATCTTCTACCTGTGGCAAATGCCTTGGTTTTCATTAATTAAATGGAAAGGAGCAAATATGTAGTACACCCGAAAAATGGAAAAGAACGACAAACCAAAGCAATCATTGCTCTTTAGTAATTAACTATTAGTTAAATATATATTAGAATAGAGATTAACATGCAAATTTACATTGCAGGCCCATTTTGCACCGATATGCGAACGAAGACGTGTCTTTGGGCTCATGGTTATTGGGCCTAGAAGTTGAACATGTCGATGAGCGCTCAATGTGTTGCGGAACTCCTCCTGGTAAGTTTCCCTTGTTTCTATTTTTGTTGTGTTATTTCAATCATTAAAAATTAATAATATCATTATTATTTTCAGTTATTTATTTATTTATACACACATATTTTAAATATAAAAATAAAAACAACTTTATTGGTACAAATAATATTTTCTTTTTTTCCTTTAATTTTTGGACTTTGTCCTTTGGATAAAAAAATATTATTTTTTATAATATCATAATAATAATATATTTTTTTGGATGTCTGTACACATAGACTGTGATTGGAAAGCAAGGACAGGAAACGTGTGCGTGGCATCTTTTGATTGGTCATGCAGTGGTATCTGTAAATCGGTGGAGAGAATGAAGGATATACACAAAGCTTGCGGGGAGGGAGATGGAGCTGTTTGGAACGTTGACCTCTAATTTATAGAATAGAAAAATTATAGTTTTACTACATTTGATGGAAGAGAAATTGAAAACATTTCCTAAAGAAATTTGTTATCGGGTTTCGTTGAGAGGCCATATCTATAGTAACTTTCTTTTGTTAGCTCCCTCTTCTATCATTTAAAAATGACTTTATAACTAATAATAATGAAAACTATTTTATCTATTTAAGCACTTACTATAATTAAATAGAAGAAGTAAATGGAACCTAATCTAGTTTAGTTTTATGATACTTTGCTATTTAATTCCATGCATCAGCTTTCTATTTTTCATAATTCTAACGTAATTAAAGTGTAAAAACAATAATGTTCTCTCTCTTTTTTCTTTTTACACGTGTAATGGGATAATTTTTATTATCTCCTTTTATGTTTATAAGTGTTTTTAAAAAATATATTTATGAATTAATACAAATTTTACATTAAATGTCTACAGTTTAACACAATCCTCCTTTATTTAAATTTGAATCGAAAAATAATTGAATTATTGTAAAATAAAATAAAATCTGTTAAGTTTATTTACACTTGCGCAACTTAAAATTATATTAATAACCCCCTATAGTTATTCATCAAAGTATATACTTTTTTCACTATTAATCATGAAAATACGGCTTTTAACAAAACTCCTGAAACACTGCCAAAAAAATCATTCATAAATATTTTTTTTAAGAAATTATTTTACAGTGGTTCTAAATGATATATATTTTAACGCTTAACATGTTGACAAACTTACCAAAGCTCCTAAAAAACGTTGTAATCAATAAATCATTTTATAACTTTTTGATAAACCCTTTAATAAAATACTCATTTACGCATTTTATAAAGCTTCTTAAAACAGGTGTTGTAACATGATTCATACTTTAAAACATTATTAATTTTTTTCAATAATTAAAATAGCCATTTTCAAACAATCAAAGTATTCAACGGACTACTCATCAAATAATAATAAATAAACATTTAGTAATCACAAACACACTCACAATAGTCACCATCTATGCTAATATGACGAGAACATTATAAAGTATAACGATTATGGTCAAATATCAGACATACAATTGATTATTAGACAGACAATTAATTAAAACCATTGTCATTGCATTTTTGAATTGATACTAAGGTGCTTGACAAATAATGACTTAAAATATTATAATCAATGAAATGTTCAAATAAAGTGAAATATAGTAAACAATCTTTAATCAGTAGAAAAATATAAATGTCTTTTTTTTGCCCATATTTAAATGGTTAGAATTATCTCTAACCTTACCCTTAATTTGTTTAATGTCAATATGAGAAGGGGAAATCATTGTTTTCCATAAGCCCAAAAGTTCATTTCTCCTCTCAATGAAAGTTGGTTGATTTGGTGAACAGACTGTGGATTTGCTTCTTCAAACCGAACTCCTTTGGTTGAATCTTCATTTCCAAGATGGGAGGTCACGAGCCTATCAAGAACACCCCATTCATTTATTCCTTCACCTCTTCCAACACCCATTTCTTGATTTGGCTCGCATGAGGCAGCTTCCATGCCAGATTCTGAAACTTGATATCTTAAACCATCACTGCCACTCTCACAATCTCTTGGGTTTGTCATGAGTTGCTTTGCGGTGATAGGGGTGTCGGACGGTAGAGATGATGCATATGAGTAGTCATAAACCATAGGTTTCTGAAGAAGAGGCTGTGCCTGAAAGAGTGAGTATTGAGGGTTTTGCAAATGTGGGTAGTGTAGAGCAAGCTCAGGCTTATCAAGTTCAAATCCTGATGGGTTCTTCGAGTTTTGTTGTTGATGTAATAAGTAATGATTTTCTCTGTGTATGAAGGGGCGTGTATTGCAGGTTGAGGAATTATTGATTTGTTGGTCTGCATTATGTGTAGAGACACCTTCATTTCCAATCTTAAACAGGTTTTTCTTCTTGAACACTCTACACACCACCCAGCCATCTTCCTATAAATATAAAGAATTTTTATTAAGAATAAGGATAAGCAATAAAATTTTATTAAAAATATATTTATTTTACTTTTATAATTTTAATACATTAAATATATTTTTATAATATTTTTATTTATTTATAAATACTTAAATCTAATTTTAAAGAATGAAATTAACCAAACTCAAAAAATAAATCATAAAAATTGTCTCAGTATATTTAGAAGATGTCGCGAGTTAATTAAATTTATTAAAATAAATGAAAAAATGGAGTTGCTTTCAAAATTTTAAGGAATAATTAAAAAATAATTTAAAATTTTGGTCTTTAAAGTGAGATCAAAGTCAAGAATTTTATTTTGCATGGAGAAGAATAAAAACATAATCTCAGTACACCTCTTGTAGATATATCTATTTATAAATGATTACTTCGTATTTAATTGTGTAATCAATAATAACATTAAAAATATTTTTTCTCTCAATAGTTTTTTTTTTATTTCTATATATTCTTTAATGCAATAAGAAAATCAAACTTACACCGTTCTTAAAAAAGAAAATATTTAAAATTTGTATGAGAAATTTATCAATTAGGTAAGCATGATAAGAGAACTTCTTTAAATACAATTCACTAAATTGTCCCAACTAAAATACTGCTTGAAATGAGAAAGTTACCTATCTGTTAAAGTTAAATTAATCCCTTTAAAATAGCAGATAAGCTTTTATAAAATACAATTCTCTAAATCGTTTGAACAAAAGTGGCACTTTCAAAATGAGAAGTTTTAACAGAGTGTCTTGATTAATTAACTCATTAATTTAAATTAAAATAAATAAAAAAATATCAAACTATTTCAATTAATTAAAATTATGTTTTTAAAAGAAGAGGGTTAATGAGATATCACAGTTAAATTAGCCTTCTTTTATTAAAATAAACTATTTAAAAAATTGTTTTAATTTAGATAATTAATTTATAAAAATGAACGTAAAAACTTTAAAATTAACGAATAGCTAGTCACGATTCATATATCCTAAAATAAAATACAAAATCAACTGGATATGACGACGAAATTAATTCATTAAAAACTTTTGAGTTTATTTTTAATTAATACCAAATGAATTAATAATTAAGAAGATAAAAACATATAATGCAATTAAATTCAAACCTGCAACAAAGTTGTAAATATAATAATTATAATCTAAAATTGAAATTAACGGACAGAGGGAGAAAGACATACATTAGTATTTCCTTGAGGATCGTTGCCATCTTCCAAACGGTACTCATGCATGATCCAATCAGTCTTTTGTCCATGAGGAGCTCTACCTTTGTAAAACACAAGGGTTTTTCTCATTCCAATCTTCTTGTAGCTATTCCTAATGCATTTATCTCTTCCTGTTGCTTTCCAAAACCCTGCATTTGTTGCTCTGTTAGTCCTTGATCCTGTAGGGTATTTTCTGTCTTTGTGACTGAAGAAATACCACTCGTTTTGTGGAGTTGAGCCAATTCTACATCTTTCTGTTTGCATAAAAAATAATATCTAACATGAGCAAACTCTAAACAAAAGATGTAATAATTGACCAAAAAGCTTTATTTCATTATTTAAATTTTCAGGAATATATAATCTTCTCCCATCATAGTTGTGTACTTCTTATTTATTGTTCCCTTGGGGTAATTTTATGGTTTAAGTACTTGGGAAAAATTTACAATTATAATTCAATTTCTGAGTTTTTTGTTGATATGACTTCTAAACATTGACATATCATTTACAACAGTTTGTCTAAATATCGTATATTAATTATGTGTGCCTAAATAATCGAGTCTCGAGAAAGAACTTAGAACTTGATAATGTCATTAAAAATTGTAGGAAATAAAATTAATTATATATTCAATGATGTCCGCTAACAATAATTGTTTGCTTTAATTTATCAAACAATTTACTCATATTATAAATTAATCTATATTTTAATTCTTGAATGAAAATTAATTTTAAGAAATGTTTTTATAGTCACTAAAATATGTTCTGTTTTAATATTAAGTATTTAATTTTTTACTTAATTACATTTTTAATCTCTATACTTTAATATATGTACTATTTTAGTTTTTTTAGTTTTAATTATTTATATTTAGTTACTTTTATTTTTTAAATGTTTTAATTAAATCTTCTATCTTAAAATTAAAGATTTTATTATCTTTTATTTTTATTTAAATATTCTGTATACTTTTTTCACTTATTTGTATACATCAATAAAACGCTATACTTTTATTATATTTTTATTAATTATTGAATAAAATTTTAGAGTAAAGAACTTAATTTAAACATTTAAAAAATTAGAGTGACTAAAATTTAGTAATTAAAACTAAAGAGACTAAAACTACAAATGTATAAAGTGTAAAAACAAAAAGTACAATTAATTTTTAGTTATTTTATTTATAATGTTTTAACATACTACCACTTAATTTTAATTTTAGATCTAATATACTATATCAAATTAAAGATCTTGATTCATGCTTGTAAATTAATGATTAAAAAAAATTATTTATATAACAAAATATCTTTTAAATAAAAATCACACCGGAGTAGTCATCTCCACAAATTATGTCATGTGGCCTTCAATTCATGTTTATAGAATAAAAGGACGAAGCATATTAGGAAGATTATATTTAACACTGGCTTATACTTTATTTAAGATATTGTTATTTTTTAAATATGCTAGTAAAAATTTTTAATAATTAAAAATAAAAAGAGTTTATAACTTTTAAAAGTTACTACAATTAAGTAGCATTTAACTTATTAAAATCTAGTTATCAATAATTTTATTTTTATTTTTAATAATTATTTACACTTAAAATAAAATAACTTTAACCCCTTTTTTTAGTTTCTAATAAATTTTAAAAAGTTATATAAATATGTTTATCAGATAACTCTAATCCAATTAAATAGTTATAAAATATAAATTTATAGCTAATTTTATCAAACAAAACCTAAATAAACTAAATCTCATATTTTCATAAAATTGTCATTATTAAATATGTTAATTTATTCAAAACTTAAAATCATCAAAATTGAGCAGTCAAAGTTATCCCTGTATAGACACACGAATTGTGTACATAGTGTCGTGATGAAGCTCAAAGCTTAGATGATCAAGAAACGAGATAATAAAATAGTTAATGAATGGAGTAATAAGAAAATTAACGGTACTTTAATTTGAATTACCTTGCAAGTCCCAAGGCTCCATCTTGTTCAAGTCCACCTCTCTTATAACATCCATGTCAAACTTCTGAAAGGAAACCTTTTTCTTCAAGTAGTAAAGAAGCAGCTCTTCATCTGTGGGATGAAATCTAAATCCCGGGGGCACACCACCATTAGACGAACCCATCAAATCTCCAAAGTCAATTCTCAATCACTTAACAAGTAGTTGTCTATGGATAATACTTATCTCTCTCTTTCTCTTTGAACTTATTGAAGAAATTCTAAGCAATCGATTTGTGGGTGGTGTTGCAAGCATTGCACTTATATACCTTCATGGTTGTCAACGCCACCATTACGTACACACTTTGAACATAGTAAGGGTTGACGGCCAGTGACTACGCCGACGGGCATGGTTAAAGCTACCTATCGTAAGAAGCAAGTTTACGTAATGAATGTAACCAGCATGATTGTTATTTTCAATTGTTATCTTTTATTATATTGGATTTTATTAGTTTATTTTTTTATATTCTTTCATAGGGTTCCCCACAAGCGTAAAGGAGGGTAAGGTACACTCTCCCTATCCGTTGCTATACAATAACCTACATTATAGTTTTTTGTTTTGGATAAGAATAAAAGTTATAATAATTGAACCTAGTTAGGGACATTATTAAGGGTGCATTTTGAAAAGCTTATAAAAAATTAATGAAAGAAATTATAACTCTAATAAATTTTTTAATACATTTTATTAAGTGTTTTTTACATAATTTATTAAAATAAACACTTTTTAAGTTAATGTCAACGAGTGTTATGGTTCAAATTATATATTAACCACTTATATAATAAGCGTTTATTGAGTAAATACTTGATTAAGTTATTATCTATACACACTCTAAGTAAAGAAAATTAAAAACAAACTATGTATAATTAGTAAAAGGGAAGAAGCTTTTAAATAACCAAGGATTTAACGTATGTGCAAAATCAATTTCATTTTTTATCTATAATTTAACGAGGCGTTGTTAATATAATTAACGAAATCCGTGTTAAGACTGATCTAATACGTCTTATATTGCTTGAATTCAAATGATTTCCATATATCGAATAACAAATTCTTTTTAGTACGAAATATTTTGCATGAAAGATCATGAATAAAATATTATAAAGTAACTTTAGTAAATTATTTATTTATCACTTTGTTATGGATGGATGTGCGTTTCAACTTATTATATGGAATTATTAGGCGTACAAAAAAGAGCAGCTTGTAATTAATCAGCCTATTAGTGTTATGCTATTGTTGAATAATATATTCCACGCGCTTCCCAAAAGACTGTGGACTAACTATTGCAATAAAAATTAGTTTACTAGTTTTCTTGAAATATTTAAATCAGTAAATGATCCCGAGAATTAAAAACCAATATAATTTATAGGTAATTTGATTGTTCTTAAAGCAATGTTTGGAAAAATAGCTCCTAAAGCATCTTGGGATTTCCGCATTACATTGGACGTTCGAAATTTTATACTAATAAAATTCTTCTTCATGGATAGTTTTTTATGTAAATTATTGACAATCATATAAAATTTTAACAAATTTTGGGTTTAGTCTTAAATGTTCATGGATACAGTTGGAGATGTAATCGCCGTAGCTGAGGCATGCACATGTGAGTATGACCCGAAGTGCCTTCAGGTTGATATGGTTGATTCAATTGCACGCTTTGTTTCTGTACTTTTTCTGATTTATTATCCCCCATTCCCGATGGGGTTTGCGATCTTGCATATGAATCGCACATATGACATGTTTATAAAAGATACACTAAAGTTACGTACAGAGTATAGTAGGCTAATTTCGTTTCTCTTTAGTTCTTTTTCTAACATAGTTTTAGGGTTTAAATATATAGTGAGTTGAGACAAAGAAGGAATACAAAGCTAGATAGCTGCAAAATGACTTATATAGTTTCCTAACAAGCATCAATCACATCTTCGGAGAAATGACAAGGTTAATTAACTCATGGAAACATCAATTTTCTAAGTCCATTTGCTCCATGCGTGCATGTTTCTCCTATAGACTGGATACTGTAAATTCATTGATGACAGCTTTTCGCCATGTATGTTGACTCAAGTTTTGTACAATAAAAGGTCATCTGTATTGGGAACATTTGGAAGAGTTTAATTATAATAAATTTATTTAAATTTATAAAAATATTTATTTTAATGAGATTTTTATTATGATTTATTAAAAAAATTTAAAATTTATTTTAATACATTCTATAGTCAAAGTTTTGATATAAACACTCACATGATAAAAGTTTGTTCAATAAATACTTAAATTATACTCATTATCAATTTTAAACAAATTAAATAATAAAAAATCAATAATTATATTTTCATAAAAAAATATGATAAAAATATTAAATATTATATTTTTATGCTTTTTTTTTTTACTTTTAATAACAACGGAAAAACTTATTATACTCTTAAAATTAGATATTATCTTAGTAATTGAATAGATAAAAAGAAATAGAAAAATATTTAATTTCTCAACTGATACCTTTAAAAAAGCTTAGAGAGATACTTACCAGTTTTGTAAAAATATTAGTTAAGAAAGTAAAAATATTTTCTTCATTGTTCTATCTATTTATTTAGGAGGATGATAAATAATTTAAAGAATATAAGTAATATTTTTGTTTAAATTGAAAGTAAAGAATTATTTAAAAATATAATATATAGCATTGGTGGATTTTTTTTATAAAAAAAAACATTGATTTCTTGATTATTAAGCATTGTTTGACTTATAAAAAAGGAGGAAATGTGGAGAATATTTTATTTGGTCAATAAAAGGAGAGGAGGAAAGAAAAAAAGTTATTATATATTTAAAATTACAAACTAAAGCTATTAAATAAAAATAATTAACTTAATGTAAAAGTTTATCTTTCCTCTTAATCATACTATTTTTTTAGAGAAGTTAATTAAAATTAAATGCGGAGGAATTTTAATTATCTCTATCCCTTATTCTTTTAAATTAAGAGTCAAATAAAAAAACAAAAATTATGAAAATCTTTTCCTTTTTCAAGATTTCTACTCTTTTCCTCGTTTTAAAATATAACAAGTTAAAACTTGCTTAATAACAAATAAATCACCTTTAAAATCCTTAATGCCAATTTCTTTATAACATAGAAAACAAAGATATGGGAGATGGAGAAATAAAAAATATGATAGAAAGGAAAAAAAATTTAAAGTTACAAAAAGTTCAACATAAAGCGACCTAAAATAAAGTGTGTCACTTTTTCATATTCAAATAAGTTTGGTTGTTATTATTTAAATAATAATTACTTTTTTTATGAACAAACAACCGTCATTAAATTATAATTTTTTCTTAATTTTTAAATATTTTTACATTTTTTACTACAACTTTATTAATTACTCTACTCTTTTTATGTTTCAAAATAAAATTGTGTGTCTTTCATTTGATTTTTAAAATATAAGTGTTTAGAGATAAATAATCAAACCAATTACAATATGAACTCAATCATTCATTAAAGGATAATAATTCTTTAGTTAAGGACAACAAAATTTTGATTTATAACCACTTGACATTTAGTGATATAGTAAGACAAATAATAACATGAATATAGTTATTTTTTCCAATTTATGATAATTAGTATTTTCTTAGGGTCTTAAGATGTTTGTGAAATTGTAAAAAAAAAAAAATTGTGTTAAGTCTCAAGATGATATTATTTTGTCACAAAATGAGAAAAATACTTTGATGAAACAAAAGAGTAAAGATCAATAAGCACTTGTTCAAAGCTTAGATGAAGTTATATTTGAGGTAGTGTCTAATGCAAACACATCTAAAGAAGCTTGAAAGATTTTAAAGACTAACATTGAAGGGTTGACAAGGTCAAAAATGTGCAATTACAAACTCTATTAGGAGAATTTGAATATTTACATGCGAAGGAACCCAGGCCTATTTTGAATGTTGGTAATAGAGCAATAGTTAGTGTAAACCAAATAAAACGATATGAAAAAAAACAGGTAAAGGATGTTCATGTAGTAAAAAGAAAATCTTTCGTTCCTTAATCGTAAAGTTTGACTATGTGGTTTAAGCTATTAAAGAGTCAAAAGATTTAAGCTCATGTCTGTGGATCAGTTGATGACTTCGATTCAAGTCTATGAAGAGAGGTTTAAGCGAAGACAAAAAAATAAAGAAAAAAAATCAAAGAGGACATGAAAAAGAAGGAGGATGTGGTTGTGATTAAGAAAGAGGAGTAAGAGGAGATTATGATAATTTTGATAATAATAAAAATAATTATCAATCCATTAGGAGTTATAGAAGAGGCAAAGACAATTTTGTTAAGATAAATGAAAGAATGTATGATAAATATTATGTTGAATGTTTCAATTGCCATAAATATAATTATTACTCTTTGGAGTGTATAACAAATATTGAAAAGAATGTCAACTTTACAGAAAAGAAAGAAGAAAAAAAGCGAACATTATTGCTAGTAGTTAATAATAAAGAAAAGAATGACAAATGCTTATGGTATCCTGACAATGGAGCAAGTAATCACATATGTACAAGGAAAAAATTATGGAGCTTGATGAGAAGGTGAAGAGAATGTTTATTATGTCTTTAAATTAAAAAGTAATATTTTAGGTTTGAGATAATATGAAATTATTATGAAAAAAGATTATTATTTATGGCTTAGAGATCAAAATTCTAATTTAATTGACAAGGTGTTGAATGCAGTAGTTGATTTAAACATCGAGACCATTGAAGCAAAATATTTTGTAGGCCAACACTAAAAATGAATTATGGTGTTGGAACATGAGATTTGAGCACTTAAACTTTAGTATAGTCAAGGTTCCATTAGATGAGAAGATGATGAGAGAATATCTTTAATTAATCATCTCAATAAATTATGTGAAGCATGTTTTGTTAAAAAACATGTATGAAGAATCTTTTCTAAAGAAGTCGAATCAAAAGTAGAAGAGTCTTTCTAACTTATTTATATCTACGTATGTGGTCTTGCTTCATTTAGTAAAAAATAAAAAATAAAATCTTCTTTATTAATGATTTTAGTAGGAAGACTTGAGTTTATTTTTTAAGACAAAAATCTTATGCATTTGTAACTTTAAAAAATTTTAAAATACTTATAAAAAAAGTGATTATATAATCAAATTTCTAAGATCTGA